GACCCAACCTGTGCGATCTAATTGGTCTGAGAGAGGTAATCGGCAGGAGGCGGTCTCTCAGGTATTTGTATTTGTAGCTGAACTGGTACTACACAATCAGATTCAGCAGAGATTACAAAATGATCAACTTTTGAACCATAGGAAGTCTCTCTTGAATCCCAGAAGAGCTAAAATTCTGAGATATCAGGAATGGTGGCTAACCAGAATAGTATGGAACATACTGATTCTGAAAGAGTTAACATTTAAAGTGAAAATATGAGAGAGCTAGGGGAGGAAATGGGGAAATATTGGGTACTGGTTTACACAGCCGATTCTATTGGTTTTCATGTTTCAAATAAGAAATCATCAGGCTGTCTAGACAGAAGTTTCCTCTAGGGACATGAGAACAGCTTCCTCTACTCAGCACTTCCTGTTCATGATGAAAATTGGGTTTTGTTGAGTAACTTTATATGACTTCATGTTACGTTAATCAAAAGTGGAATTGGAATAATTTAAGGAGAAGATGTGGGAAAGCAGAATCTATACTTACATTATAGAAATGTGAACCTAGTTAAAGTGAGATCGGTCAGGGCAAAACAGGATCTAAGACCTATAACAAATAAATCTCTAACCACTTTTTCTTCTCTTCACTACGTAGGAAGACCTGCTTCAGAGAACACGGTTAATGGTGCTCCTGGAACTCAAACAATTTCTGTGTATAATGCTAATGATTACTTTGAACCTTGTGCCCTTGGTCACAATGCCTTGGTCTTTACTGCTGAGCTTCAGGGCTCTTCAAAATTCTGTATTCCATGCAGTCCAACTGTTGCCTTGGGGGCATCTGCACGATTACTTGCCTCTGGTGGATATTTTCCCCTTAACTTTAGGAAGCTGAAGCTATCAGAAACGTCAGTATGAAAGATTTCCTAAAGACTTCAATGTTCTAGTTAACTGGACAATAGCAAAAAAAATGAAAAATAAAAATCTTGTAATTTGAGCCTATGAGAAATTATAATTTAAAGCCCAACTAAAATTTGGGCAATTTATGCCATGACTTTTCCCCATATTTTGCTTTTCTTGTTGTATATTACTGTATCTTGTTGTATATTATTACTGTTAACATTTCTACTCTTAATATAATGGTTTTACAAATAATCAACGAACTGTCTTATTTAAATTGTATGAATATTTCTATAGGCTGGGAGAGTCATTGAGTTTGGGGACAGCATTTAGAACAATGTCAAACTACAGCTGC